TCAACTTTCCTTCTTGGTTTATAGTCATAGCCTGCACTTTGAATAGTGATTATCAATGCCTCCATGTCGGCCCTGTCAGTAAGCTGTGCATGTCTGAAAAAACAACTGAGAAAAGGCCCATTTTACACTCACAAGAAAATGAAAGGTGAAAATAAATATTGTGGTAAAAAATAAAAACTGATTTTGTTGTTTATTTCAGGGCTTCTTTTGCATGTTCTGGTTAGGTAGGTGAGGACAACTTCATTATGTTACACAACTGGTAACTCTAATGAATAGCACTGAAACTACTCTAAGGGGCAGTCTGCATTGACAAGCAGTTCCAAACTGCCTCAATTCTAAGTATGACTTAATATAAGCCTGCAAAATTCTCATTGTTTGCTTTGCTGTCACCTATTCCCAAAAGTTTTCATTTATTTATCTCTTATTCTCTTTTGGTCAAGTGGGTAGCTGCTTTAAAGATGCTACTTCACAAACTCTATTGTTAGCCATAAAACATGAAAACTTGAGACAGATAAAATCACACACCATCTTGTATGTGGATATCCCAATCATAATGTCACACTCAGACAACAGTAGCAAGTGATGCTAGAAATATGTGAATTCCAGACTGAAATCAGCAGTATGTGAAAATTGTGTATAACCACAGGTAATGTAAAAATGGGATTGCCGGTGAATGATAAGAATAATAACCACACAATAAAGAACATTGTGTCAAATCACTTTTCAATTCAACTCATCAATCAATACACTTCACAGACAACATTCTGTACAGATAAACTGTATTCTATAGTCATTTCCCAATAAGGTTAGGGTATCATTAGTGACATGATATTATTGCTGTAACTAACCTGAACCAAAGAATAGTGGACTGTGGAAGACTGGGGCCATGTCACCTGGTTGGTCATATTTCTAGATCCTTTCAGGTAGATGATCAAGATTGTGTGTGGTGGAGATTGCATGAAGTGATGGATCTAGGGTGTTGTGCAAGCTGATGATAATTCTGTAATGATTTTGTGTGTATCCTCTTGGAGCTTATAAGGACGATGAATAAAAACAAATCTATTTTGAGTGGTGTAACATACACAGATCTTGTTACAGACCATTTGTATCCCTTTATACTTTCCATGAATACTAGTATTGATGGCTTGTTCTAGCAAGATAATGAGACCCTTTGAATAAATGGCATAAAACTTGTTGCAAAAGCATTCAACTGACTTCCATGTACTCCAGTGGCCCTCATAGTTTGCTAAACTCCATTGAGCATATTGTGATACTAAATTCCCTGCAGCCATACACAGAAAATACAACTTAATTATATTCAGAAGTGTAACGGTCTGAATAGATAATCTCACACAACAACCCCAATACCTTATAAATGCTAAGGCACATTATAGTCATGATACATAGCTGTCATTATTCAAGTGAAAGAAAAGTTAATAACAAGTTTATAGCATGGAACATAGATTACCGTTTTTTTGTTTATTCTTATACACTACATTATACATAAATATGTATTATTTATTTATCAATAAACTTAAACGTTTTATACTATTAACATATTCACTATTGTGGATGTACTTATACATCGTTACAAAATTTACATTGCCTTCTGCCATTCTATTTTTTCCATAGTCAAGACAACATGTTTCCTTAGTGTTTGTGTTATAAACTAATACTTAGTACTATTTCCAAACTAGCATAGACTTATAACCTGTGTTTTGTAACATATTTCTATTATACTATATGTTGGTGATGTCATTTACACCTATTCTAAACTGAAGAATATTCATTCAAAATCAAAATGGTAGCACCGATGAGAAATCATCTTTATTGTCATTTATTTCTAGTAAATAGCAATTTCCTATTTTTTCCCAAACTATTAGGTTGGTGCAAAAATAATGTCCTTTTCTCACACGTTACTTTTATATATGATTTCTGAATTAATTCATTGATATATATAGCCATGTTATATATCATTTTGAAGCGCGTTTTTCACTCTATCGAATCGTGTTATTCGTTACCGTTCTCAATCTAATCATTCATTTTTTTGCAGGCTTTTCAACAGCATGGACAAAATTCAAATCCGCACGATTTTCTTGTTCCAGTTCAAACTAGGCCAAAAAGCTGCCAAGTCAGCTCGTGATATCAATGATGCGTTTGGCCCAGGAACCACTAACGAACGTGTGGCACAATGGTGGTTCAAGAAATTTCGCAATGGTGACAAGAGCCTCGAAGATGAAGACGGTTGTGGCCGGCCGACTGCGGTTGATAACGAACATTTGAAAGCCTTAATTGAAGCCGATCCTCACAAAACCACACGAGAAGTTGCTGTTGAACTCGAGGTCGACCACTCAACAGTCATTCGCCATTTAAAGCAAATAGGGAAGTCAAAAAAGTTGCATAAATGGGTGCCGCATGAATTGAACGATAATCAAAAAAATCGTCATTTTGAGGTGTCTTCTACGCCTTCTGGCGCAACAAAAAAAAACGACATATTTCTCGAAAGCGGATTGTGATGTGTGATGAGAAGTGGATCCCTCGACAACCAGTGACGTTTCGCACAGTGGTTGGATGCGGAGACTCCACAACACTTCCCGAAGCCGAAATTGCACCAAAAAAAAGGTTATGATGACTGTTTGGTGGTCTGTGCCCACTGATTATCACTTTTTCAATCGACCTTCAATGACTTCATCGCTTCCAGAACTCCGGATTTCTATGATAATGGGATAAATAAACTTGTTTCTCGTTGGCAAAAATATGTCGATTCTAATGGTTCTTATTTTGATTAATAAAGTTTATTATGAAAGGAGTTATGATCTTTTGAAGTTGAACGTCAAAAAACGACATTATTTTTGCACCAACCTAATAGACTAGCACAGTCAGGCAACAAGTCTATAAAAACACTTAAGTAAAAGTGTGAATCACACTCATTTAAAATAAAGGAACTCACTTTATGCATTAGTAAATGCAATACATACAGTCATACAAGCATTCATTTTTATGAGATGATGTCAAAAAGTTCATGGCCCAACTAGCTTTCCAAAATCTGATCAAGTCATCAAACATCAAAATCTTTTTGAAAGAGCTTTTTGGTTGGAACAACAAATACTTAGCACCACCTCATATAGTGAAAAGAATACCAATAGTCTTACCATGAAGAGATTGGATTTCTTTTGAAATACAAAGCAATGACAAAACTAAAAGAATAAATTTTGTCTAAATTTCTGAGAAGTTATTTATTATTTTCAGTTGGACTAATGTTCTCATCTTTGTTTTTACTATCACAATGTTTCATCTGTTGTACCCTCTGGTCTTCTTTGACAGTGAAAGAAAGCTAGACGGTACAATGATTGAAATATGATAACAAAAGCAAAGATGAGGATATTTGTCTGACTGAAAATAAAAGAAAGAAAATATTGATAAACTTGATATCCAAATGCTTACATGTTATTTATTGTGTGGAATTTTTGTTTTCATTTAGCCTGTAGATGTTTGAGCATGACAAATATGGAATATAGTTTAAGGTAAGAGAATGGCAAGTTTTATTTAAAATCTTAAAATCAAAACTTCTAACAGCACAACACAAATAAAACTATTCGCCAGGTTTTATTCAATACCATTACATAAATCAGAACATCAGTGTCTCTTGATCTTTTCTATTTGTATCTTCTATATTTTCATCCATAATTTTTTCAGTTTTTAAAAAAGTCTCCAATCACAAACAAAAGTCATATACGCAAAGAAAAAACACATAGAAAATGATAATGAATTTAATAAGATATAGTTTACGGGCTTTTTCTTTTCACCTTTCAATAAATCATTTTTGAAATAAACGTTTTTTTTTTTTTAGTTTTTTTTTTTTTAATTTCAGTAATTATTTTCTTTGGAATATAAACAAAGCTTAGTCTCCATTTGGAAAACAAATAAAACATATTGTGTATACTAGTAAAATTTATACTGCTGTCAAAAAATTGTCAAAAGTGATTGATTATTATTATTATTATTATTATTATTATTATCATTATTATTATTATCATATCATTTTTAACTTAGCATGTATGCATATTGTTGTTTTTGTAAATGTGTGCCTGGACTTTTAAAATTTTATGTGGAAGGTAAGTATATGATATACTAACCATATTTTCTATTTTTCTTTCGGGATTAGCAGTGTCGGTGGTTTAAGTGGAGCCAAGAGTAAAAAAACAGCTATTTTACAAGATGACACCAATTTTGAAGTCACAACCAAAAAAAAAAAAAAAAAACAACAGAAAATAATTAAAAAATAAAGGAAAAAATATTTTGAAACTCAGGGCCAGGAGAGAAATAGAGGGCAAGTTTAGATTTTTTGATTATTTTTTTTTTTTACTCCCTCATATAGTAAAATGTTTATCAATTTCTTTTTCTTTTCTTCCAGTTAAGATTCATTACATCATCACCCAATATAGAAAAATTACATCTGGCACTTTATATGCTTATAAAAACTTCAAAAATATACAGTCAGCACATATTTCTATAAATGCAGTGAAAGTCTATTTTCATTTTGTTTTTTCATTGGTGGTATTTTTTCTTTATTTTTTGAAGGAAGTGCTTATTTTCCTATGATATAACCCATAGAGCAAGCAATGTGTGTATGTGAGGATGAAAGTGAATGTATGTGAGTATGTCTCATAAATTTGGACCAATGAGGAGAAACAGGTTCTCTCATTACGCTATTTATCGCTTTAGTGTATTGGTTGTGTATTCATGTATACTGACAGTGTTTTAATGTGTGTATGTGTGCATGTACTTTAAGATGGAATTCATACAAACACTATGACATATAACCATTACAGATACACCCCATATTGATGTAAATTGTTTTCTTTTGTAATTTATCACAGTGTATTCGTAATGTTGACATGCACACATTGGCAAAATTATTCCTTGCAGTGTGCTTTTTAATTTCAGAAATAATTTTGTTTTTTTCTTTCTTTTTTTACTTCTCTTCTCAAATTACACAGTTAATCACATTTAGTAACAAAACTTCCAGGAAAAAGTCCATTTTTTCCAGTACGCTGGAGAGCTCCTTTGAACCAGCCATCCTCCCATTTCTTGTAGACCAGGACAATGTCACCAATTTTTAGTTCCAATTCCATTTCTCCTTGCGGTGGGTAAGGTGCTATACAACGATATCTGAAAATGAAATTGTAAGAATGAGACAAAAATATAGTAAATTATTAATATTATTATTTCCAGGTTTTTTGATTTGCTGCTTTATACAATCCTTTAAAAAGTTTTTTTTTCACCTGAGACCTGGGGTAAAGGAACATTTTTCCTTAAAAGGTTATTGAGTATATTTTATTGAGAGAGCTTGATGCTCATGAGCACAATCTTTTGTTTCTCAAATAGTGATGGATTGTCTGGGATTTTCTTAATTCTTGTACCTGTATTCATTTTAATCATTTCTAGTGTTCCTATTATAATTGGAATAGTGATTGTCTTTAAATATCATATTCATATAATTTCTATTTCCAGGCTCTCATATTTTAAAAGTTTGTCAAAATCTTTTGTTGGGTTGTTTTTATCAAATAAAATAACCATGTCTATGAGACAACACTTAAGATTTTTTAAGTCTTTCTTTATTATAACTGGTCTATTGGCCTGTGTAGAGCAATTGGAATGTATGGTGAAATTGTTGTTGCTATTGTTTCTTCTTCTTCTTCTTCTTAGTAATAGTAGTAGTAGTAGGTAGTACTTGCATTTTTATGTTCATATCAGATGTCTGGTGGTTATTGCAAGTATCCTCAAATCTCAAGTATTTTTCTCAGTATTCTCACAGACCCCAGTAATTTCATAGTCTAGACAATCTCTTTACACTAATTTCCTAATTCATCCAGTCTTGCCTCTAGTGTTCTTGGCACTGTTCCAAGTGCTCTAACTATTATAGGCATCACTCTAAGTTTCTGCCCAAACTTTTCTCAGCTCTCAGACAGATCTTGTTATTTTTCCAGATTGTTACTTTCTTTCCTTTTTCACTCTGTGGCTTATTGACCCTTGTAGTGGTGGGTCGTCAACTTCTTGTAGTACTACTACTACAAAAAAGTTCAGAAAGTATTTTTTGATTCAGCAACACATTTAGAACTCTTGTACAGCCATGAAACAGATTCACTGACATTAGTAAAGAATTCAGTATGTGAGTGTAGTTTGTAAGCCACTGTCTTCCAGTAGACACCCTATCTATTTACCAAGTTTAACTCAGTCTGTAAAGGAACTTCTAGTAAGAGTCAAACCCAATAGTAATGAATAGTTTGTAAGATTATTACAATAATACATCATACAAATTATGCTAATATTAGCATGAAAAAACTCAGGATAAAACTAATAAGGATTACATTAAAAATCTTTTTTTAATGACACCAAGAATTATAGTTTTATTATTTTATTTAAATTAAATCTCTCTCTAAATTTAAATTATTTAAATATTCAATGAGTATGAAAAAAGTAGTTTTTCTTACTTTTTTTACGCTCAAGGACATTACTCATATAGGTACTTTTGGTTCTGTTATTATAAAATGAATTTTCTATACACTATGTCAAATTCTATCATTTAAATCAAGGCCAAATCAATTGGCATTAATTAATGCTGATAAAAATTACAGGATATATTTATATGGTAAATATATAAAGTGAATTTCAACCTCTAATACTGCTTTTATTAGAAATATTTACAATTATGTAATGGTGGTGTGAGATTTTTTTATTCAAGGAGTGTTTATCATATTATAAATAAATATATTTAATTATTGATAATTATATATAACTGTTATATTGATAATTATAATTACTATTGATAATTACTTTTATAAATTTCAAAAATATAAAGATATAAGGTCAAAAGAGAAACAAGATATTGTAAAGTTAATGAGTAATGGAAAATCATGTTGGAAAATGCAAAAAATAAAGTTGAACAAAGATCACATAAAAATTATAAACATTGGCAAGATAAGAACAATAAAAAGACTGGCTTTTATTTTTTAAATCATTTCACTCAAACAAGGTAATAAAGCCACTAAGATGCAAGGGTTACTGAATGTGAGAGAATCTGAGGAAAAGGAAAACATTAAGGATAGAACAATAAAAGAACAGGAATAAGATAACAATTGGCATTGCATTTAAATTTTTGAAGATCAAATTTGACTGGAAAGCAAGAAGCTTTAAGAAAAAAAGAGAATTGTAGCAAAAAAAGTGGATTGGCCAGCAAAACAATATTCAAAAAGGCTTGTATTCAAAATATAAACAGAGACAAAGATGCAAAATATTAAGAACATTAGCTAAATTATAACCTTTGAACAAACATCAAAAAGGGAAACATAAGCTGGATGAAAAAGTAAACGACAACTAATTTCTCAGCCGCAATTTTTAGTGATGAATATAGAGCTACATTGGATGGAGTAAATGGCTAGCCAGAGGTTGTGTCATACATGGAAAGAGTTAAGCATCTCAGTGGAGAGATAGGTTAATGTTTAATTTAGTATTGTAGGCAATAAAATTATAGATTTCTTCTATGTTGAGATAAATTCAGAAAATTATTTTTCTGGACATTATATATATATATATATATATATATATATGACAATAGGAAAAACTGTAATAGTTGCTGACTCATTTCATCCAATGTAGAAACGCATCAGCAACTATTACAGTTTTCCCTATTGTCATTTATATTTATAAATAGTCTTTTTCTACAGGTCAACTCTGAGAAATTTTTATATATATATATATATATATATATATATATATATATATATATATATATATATATATATATATATATGAGAAATTTCTCACCCAGTGAGGATTGAACTCACAACTCAGTTGTAATTATTCTAGCTGAGACAAGCTTGCTAACCATTACACCGCCTCAAGATGCCCTGTATATATGTGGTATATGTCACAAGTGAAAAGCTTTAAGTTAAAAGGGATATCCATGCAAGACAATGCCCCTTCACATTCTTCAAAGTTATTTCCTACTTTGCAAGGTTTTAATGACAACAAATTAATGGGATGATCCCCAGCCTCTGCAGATATTAATCCATTAAAAAACATGTGGTCTATCATTAAAAGAGATGTATATGAGAATAAAAAACAATGTTCAGTCAAAGGTGATCTCTGGAAAGCTGCAAAACCTGTAAGTGATACTAAATTTAAGACTGTAGAAAAGTTAATAGAATCAATGGTTGAAAGACTAATGATGGTGATAGATTGTTAATGAGCTCATTTTAACATACAAAATAATACAATAATTTATTCAGGTATATCAGAGAGTGTGTTAATAAAATATATGTTTGTGAAGCCTCTATCTTTGGGACTTAATTACAAATAAGTGCTGCCGCTGTAGTTTATATAGCAAGTAGATTTTTATACGGAAGAGAAATAATCCACACCCAACCTGTTTTGAACTATTTTGAGTTATTCTTCTCTTTGGTTGCCAGTCAAAGCTAAGGAGACCAATCTGCCCTTCTATTAACTCCTAACTGGGTGGGGAGGAGATATATTTATACGTGAACATGAAAACAACAGAAAATATATGTCAGGTACATAAAATAACACTGTTAACATATTTCTTCTTTAATTTCTGAATTTCATACTTGGGTATCAAATAAAATAAGAACATTTTCAATTTTTTTCATATAACCAGAAAAATACCCTTTGTAAGTGTGTGTGTATGTATGCATAACTATAAGGTAGACATGACAATTAATTTACCGAGCTATAACATATACTACTATCATTTATTTTTCTTCTATTTCTAATCATTTCATGCCAAGCAAGGCAATAAAGCCACTAAGATGCAAGGGGTTACTTAGTGTGAGAGAATATGAGAAAAAATAGTAAGAAGAGAGAACAATAAAAGAACAGGCATTAAAAAGAAGGAAGATAATAATTGATATTGCATTTAAATTTTTGAAGATCAAAGTTGACTGGAAAGCAAAAAGCTGGAACAGAGTTCAACAAGCAAGAATTGCAAGAGAAGAAATTATTAGCATAGAAATTACAGTTACATCTAGCCATTTTCACTGTAAAACTTTGCCACCAACTTAGTTCTGCACTTAAATTTATAAAGTCTAGGTATCATAGAGGAAAGTTCATCAGAACAATTACCATAAAAGTATTTATAAAAAAGGTACAGGGAAAGTAATTGAAACCAAGATACCAAGTCAGGACCAATAATATTGCAAATTCTTTTTTGTATTTTATCAAGAATCTCTAAATAGATAGGAAAAGCACCAGACCAGATGTCGCAGGAATATTCAATGCATAGACAAATGGTAGACTTATAAATATGTAAGATAGATTCTGCCAAGAAAAAGAGTGACCCAGTGAACCAACTTTTCTACAGTAGACCTAGCAATTGATTCAATATAATCTTTCCACTTCAAAGAAATGTAAGAAGGTGCAATGGGTCACTTCTGGAGGTTAGCATCAGCCAAATAGTTCTCTTAGATGATTAAAACAAAGCAGTTTTGTTTTGGAGGCATTAAAATTAACAAGACTTTCTTTTACACAGTTAACAACAAATTGCAGGTCATTTTTTAGATCAGCTGCTTGTTTGAACTTATTGAACTGACTAGACTTACTATTAAGACAAAAGTAAATATTTTTGTCACCTGCATAAATACCAAGTTGAGAATTGATGACATCAGGAAAGTTATTAATGAAACTTAGGAATAACATGTCCAAAGATTGAGCCCTGGGGGGCGGGTGCAGGCATTAATGCAAAACGATCTAGAAGAGTGGCCATTTAAGATAACTTTCATTTTGCAATTTGATAAGACTGAATCAGTTCAGAAATTTATCTAGAAATACCATAAGCTTTCAACTTGTGAAGAAGACCAGAATGCCAAACCTTGTCAAATGCCTTCAAAATATCCAAAACAACGGCCCAAGCTTCACCTTATCTAAAGTTTGATAGATACTTTCAGCAATAATTGTTGATACATCAGCAGTTGACCTAGAGAAGTGAAAGTGATATAGATATTTGAAAGAAGGCCCTGATAGGTAAGATGCTTAACCAATTCCAAGTTGATTAGAATTTCTAGTAATTTTCAAAAAGGGGTAGAATGCTAATAGGTTGATCAAAGACTGGAACTACAGAAGAGTATTTCCAAGAAATTTCAAGCAAGAAACAGGAA